TAGGTATGCGGTAGCATGGCGACTGCATCCTATAAATACTGAAGCTCCTTGTCCTTGAACCACCCCTATCTGCTTTTTCTCTCTGATGATGGGTTCGGGCAGGAATCCGAAACGTCAGGCTAGTAAAGGTCTTGTCCCAGCGATCTTGTCTTCTTCAAAATCTGAAACAGCACTCTTTCTCTTCCTGCTCCTCCTCCCCACCGCCCCACTCGCCGGACTGGCAGGTGTGTCCGCTCACTCTGGCAGCCTGAAATGTTCGTTCCCTTTTAGACAATGCGCGGAGCAACCGAACGGAACGGAGGTCGGCGCTAGCGGCTCGGGAACTGACGCGTTGCAAGGTTGACATCGCCACATTCAGCGAGACCCGGTTCTCCGAACAAGACCAACTGGAGAAGGTGGATGCGGGCTACATCTTCCTCTGGAGCGGTCGCCCCAGGGCAGAGCGACGGGACGCATGCGTCGTCTTTGTCAACCAGAATGACATCGTGGGACGAATGCCCTGTCTGCCGCAGATCATCAATGAGCGACTGATGAGCCGGCGCCTGCCTCTCCAAGGAGGAAAATTCGTCTCCATCGTCAGTGTCTACGCTCCCCCGATGACCAGCCCTGTCGCCGCAAGGGACAAATTCTACGGGGACCTACACACCCTCATGACGTCGGTGTCAAAGGCGGATAAGTTGATTGTTCTTGGAGACTTCAACGCTCGAGTCGGCACAGACCATGCTGCCTGGAGAGGAATGCTGGGTCCCATAGTCTCGATGGCTTCAATGACAATGATCTGCTCCTCCTACGAGCCTGCATAGAACACCGGCTCATCCTGGCAAACACCTACTTCCGTCTACCGAAGCGAGAGAATGCCGCCTGGATGCACCCTCGGTGGCGACAACGGCACCTGCTGGACCATGTCCTCATCCGGAGGCGAGACCGGCGGGACGGGGTGGTGACAATGGCGATCTCGGGTGCCGGCGGGTGCCGGCGGGTGGACCGACCATCGTCTCGCCATCTCTAAGATGCGAATTCGCCTACAGCCTCACAGGAGACCACATGGTAAGCGACCCCCAGGTAAGCTGAACAGTGACCTGTTGTCTTTGCCTGCCCACCATCTTCATTTCAGCAATGAAATAGCTCAACGGCTGGCCAGCCCTCTAGTCGCCTCCTCGGCCGCCGCTGAAGAGAACGCCTCGTAGAGAACCGATGATGTCAACTGTAGGGCACAGTCCAGTCGACGGCGCTGGCCGTTTTCACTCGCACACGCCGCAAACATCAGGGCTGATTGGATGACAATGACGCCGCCATCAGCAACCAACCCGCCGAGAGGAACAGACTGGGTCGGATGAGGTTTGGTAGCCCACCTGAAGTAAGCGGATCCCAGTCACCTAAAATACGGGACCGGTGGTAATTGGGTTTTTTACGGGTGGGGCTGGGGAACGCACAGGTGACGAGGTCAAGTAGTTATATGCAAAAGCAAAACTTATTGGGAGTGCGTGGTTGTACTTTCAATGACTGAGAAATAGTTGCGCTAACCCCTACCCCTAACTCTAGCTCTTAACCATAATCCCTAACCCTAACCCTTGACCCCAACGCTAACAGCATTGTGTCCACCAGGGGGAGTGGGGGCTACCAAACCACATCTTACCACCGACTGCACAAGACCTACGTCAATCGCCCTACTGAGGACAACAGAGCAGCATTCTGTCGTAGTTGCCACCTTGTACAACAGCGGCTGCGCGAGATGCAGGACGCTTGGATGGTTCGCAAGGCCGAGGAGATCCAAGGATATGCCAACCGCAACGAATGGAAGAACTTCTCCGACAGCGACTCCTTCTGCGACAGCACATGAGTCCGTGATGTAAGCAGCATTCAAAAACCAAAGAAGCCTGAAATAAGAACAATAACGTGACTTTGACTTTTATGACAAACCCTATGATGTCATATCGGAGTCTTCCAGTCATGGCTCGTGTTGACTAAAGAAACAACACATGTATGACATGACTAATGCGTAGGTTGTTTGTCAAGTCAGTTACTGGGTCCTGTTTTATCACAGTTCGTTTTGACCTGATACCGACGCTAGGTGGACCATTCGCACTAAAATTAAATTGATCTGCAAGCCAATCATGTTGTTCGGGTAACAGCGCGTTTTATCTACCAGAACGAAGGAATCAAGGTGTGTGACTGCGTACTTGTTACCAATGCAGACGTAGTTACTCTGAGTAAGTGACAGTCACCCAGGGAGCTGCGTGAAGTTGGTCAATCCATTTTGAATCCAACCGGCACCCTGTGTTATCTTTGGTCCCATAAGTTTGTGTTGATTACAAGAATAACAATCTGGTGACAGCTTCAGCTAGAGTAAGATTACGGGGTAGGTGGTCGTGGTAAAACGCGGAAACAGGAAGTCCTTCCGTAGTAAAGTGGTGTTGCGCTGAATTCCGGAGAGATAAGGTTTAAGGTTAAGATTGGGATTTGGTTGGGATTAGAGGTTACGATACGGGAATAGGCACTCGTCCAGGAATTTAACGCCAGATCACCTGCATTACGGGGGTTCCCGTTCCCCTGCCTTATCGAGCATGTACAGTAAGTGACCGATCTCATGAAGTGTTGGCTGAGATTCTGAAATGCGTTTTCGATTAGGATGCATAACTTGGGCGCGGTTGCAATACTGATTGTCTTGCGACATAATCCTATAACATTTCGGACGCGGCAGGATGTCAGCTTTTAAATACACTGCCTTTCAGACTCCCATAGAAACCGTACTCGGCAAAGATGACTACTTAAGTAGCATGCATTTGTATCATTGATTTTCAATGGTTTGGCAAATTCAAATATATTATATAGAAACCGCGATCAAAAATATGCTTTTTTCAGTTGTTTGATAGACAATTACGTCATATTTCTATTGTATACTCCAAGGAGGAGTATAACAAGATTTTGAAAAGTTGTCTAATCGCCGAATAATTCGGAGCCTGATCAGTCGTTTCATTGGCGCTTAGTGAATTCAGTCTACAATGTGCATGAGCTCCGCGTAAAGGAAATCAAATATTCATCCATAACTTTAAAAAGATATCATATAGAGTCCATAAAATTTTGCAATGGATGCGGATTATGTTGTACAGTTCATGAGGAGCGGTCCTAAATGGACAGGAACGATGCTATGTGAATGAGCCTTGCGCGGTCTTAAAAAATCTCATGATTAGAGACTTTTTAAAACCTAATTATGCTCATTTTTTGAGTTTAAAATAAAGCGATTATGTGATTCTCTACTAAACGACTGAAAGAAAGCATATTTCTGCTCTTGGTTTCTCTAAAATACATTTGGATTTTTAAAACCATCGAAAATCAATGGGAAAACGCATGCTACTCAAGTAGTCATTATTTATCGAGTACGGTTTCTACAGGAGGTTGAAAAGGAGTTTATTCAAATGCTGACATCCTGCCGAGTTCGAAATGTCATAGTATTATGTCATAAGATAATCAGTATAACAACCGCGCCTAGGTTATCCATCCTAATCGAAAACGCATTTCAGAATCTCAGCCAACACTTCATGAGATCGGTCACTCACGGTACGAGAAAAATTTTATGCATAGTTGGGTGGCAACTGGTTTCTGGTCATCGTTTTGCCCGTGTTGATGCAGTGAAAACAATAAAAAACCCTTTACTGACAAGCTCAAGAGTCTCTGGACGATAATTTGAGACAATAAATAGGTTGCGCAAGTGAGTCTGCAATTTCTTGTCCGGGTTCTCCGGCATACCTGCGGTCTCCACTGTTACAACATACTCTGTAGACAACTGCTGCGGTCTTGGTAGGTGACAGTGTGTGCACAGGTTGAATAGCCTGACGATGAACGATGGACCGTCTATGAGTACTGCCTCCACCGGTTGCCTTCAACAGTCGAACAAGCATTCCAGAAACTCAAAAGAACGTGGCGGATGACCTCCATGGTCTCCAGAACCACGCATCCTCTACAGACAGCTCAAAGATAGAACGATTCACATTAGAGGAGCGGTTTTCAGATACCAATGACATACACATCGGCCGCCAAATAGACTTACAAAGACCTGCAGCATCACCTACACAGAGAACAGAGCAAGAGGGCCGCAATAAACCTAATAAACTCGGTGAGAGACAGTCTGATGGGGAAGCAGATGAATTGCACAAACGAATACCTACCACAACAAATCAACCACCCTTCGTCAGGGCATCGACTGACAACAGAGGCAGTTCTCGAGCCCATCATCTGAAGGTCGAGATAGCAGCAGACAAAAAATATATCAGCCTCAGGATGGCCAGCTCGATCGACCATTTGAGTTCTTATTTAACATTTGTGCATTAGATACTTTGACAATGAACAAACCACCAGACTTCCAAAAAGTTGAAAACACAGCAGGTATCTTTCAACGACTAGTTATTCCCTCTCAAATAACAAACTCCCGGAGCGGAGCGGCAACCATAGAGACGCCGGAAGCCGTTATCGCAGACCTGGAAACACGCTAGTGCACGCGGACTCCAGAACCTCCCTATTGACAACAAGCAGCAGTAAGAAAACCCGGTGTTTAGAGTCCGTTTTACTGTCTAGACGGTGACGTATTAGGTCGTTTTGTTTACCCTTTCTCAATGGAGAAAAATGTGGTCGTAAACAAAGCTATTTTACCAGAACTGAGCAAGTAACCCCAATTGATTGGTCGCGACAGTGGTTAGTCGGAAGGCAGACAATAAACACGGCACATCATTTGTCATTTGAGCTGTTTGTCTCAGTCTGGCGGTATGGTACGTTAGTCCGATTTTAGCTAACAACCAATAATTGGTGAAATGAAGGACAACAGTTGTCGCCCTTGGATTTGCCTACCATGCATGATAAGCTTGCACTATAGGAAATATCGTCCCTAGGAGAATAAATCATCCCATCAAAAGAATCAAACACCAAATCAGTACGAAGAAAAGTCATTGCCCTTGTTGGATTTCGCCTTAGTCATGAGCACCTTTGCTTCCATTATCAATAATTATGACAACCGAAATGAACATACTAAAGATTCCAGCGTGTGTGAGTCCACGCACCGTAATTCCTGGGAGCTAGCAAATAAAAAAAGAGATTTCTCTGGAAGAGGGATAGTGTAGAACGAAAATCCTTCTTATAAACACCGCCCATCGCCTTGCGACCTGCGAGAGCGGAACAGGAGTACGTCCCCGGCTGCGAGGCTGATAACCACATGATTATGAGATGAAAATACCGCAAGTGAGTACTAGTTAAAGATGATACTGTTCGACTGCCATCGTCTGGGAAGTTCGGAAATGAAAATTTGAATCTAACTACGAGGTCGGCCTCACTGAAAGAAAGAGCCATAGAAGTCATATAAGCAATACTATGCAGGATGGAACCCAGAGAGAATAAACAGCTGGGACACGTTTACAGCGAGGATGATGATAAAATTGAAACAACTGGAATGCCCGTGTGATATGATCCGTATCAGCTCCCTGGAAGCACTCGGGCACGATTCGGAGGTATAAGAAATGACTCAACGAGAATCAGGTAATCCAGCATTTGATGTGCGGAATAATCAGCAGCGTCGGCCTGAGAGGATGACATGACTACGAAACCAGAACTGCGATCACCAGGTTCAGACGACAAGCCCACCTCAAAGTACACGAGACGCAAGACCCTTGACTGGGCAAAAAATCCAACGACTTTCTGTGATACGCTGAGAACAGGGAGATGAGGGACTTTCTTGTGGTCATCGCGGCGTAAGAGTCACCCGAGCTTTGCATTGGGTCGAGCTGGATAGAACAACTATCTTGCGTGGAGAAATAAT